ATGCCTATCCACCCTGCTGATGCAGCAGTTAGGGCGCCGTTGATTATACTGTGCGACGGTCAAAGCATCAAGAAATTGTTTAAGTATTGATTCATTGTATTACTTTTGGAAAAGCGTTCCAGGGCTGGCGGACGCTTTTTTAAAAACGCCTGCATATCTCACTGAGTTCCCTACAATGTTACAAGAACGGATAAGCTGGGATATATTCAGGGAAAATAGCTTTGGAAGTACGACCCACAGTGAGCACTTCTTGTTTCTTTTTAATTTTTGTTAGCTTGGCTGCGCAAGTTTGGCTGCCCAAAACCATGTCGGCTATCGCAAACATTTTCGTCATTTCCGAAAATAATTCCCACTGCATCGCTTGTTCGGTATTGTGTACTAACTTATGGCGATATTTGTTGGAAACTGAACTGATTTTGGAAGCGATGTAGCATCGATCCTTGTTTTGCGTTGCATCAGGGTTAGAAGTTGTGCCTTCGAATGGTTTCAAACTACCGGCTTTGTCCCCCATTTTCCAAATATCGGAGCACAATTCACTTGATGGAACCCACCTGGTACTTTAACTGGGACACATTCGCAGGCATCAAAAACCCGAATGAGGATCACCTACAATAGCTGATAATCGATCTATATATCATCTTTTCGGACTGCAAGGGACTAAAGACGCCAAAGGTTCCTGCGGTAAGCTCTTAACTTAGCTTTGACCTCGAATGACCCCAGAAGAGATAATAGCAGGTGTGGCATACCATGCGAGCTGCAGGGTGGGCCAGTAACTCATACGACCGTTTGAGCTGAAAGGTCGGTGATGCACTTTTCGGATTGAACACTGAACACTGAACAATGATTTTATACGGGTTAAGAAGCGTTACTTTACAAGCCCCGTTGGGTGGTCTGATGGGTTAGCGAAAAACGTTAATGAAAAAAGAGTTGGTAGTCTTGCTGTCGAAATAATAGACTTCTCGTTTTGATTCGGTAGTCCTGCACTCCGAGCCTCTCCATAGCTTCACTTGGCGGAACAAGTAAATCCAAGATATTTCCCTGGAGTAGGATGGAGAGTAGCGTCAAGTAATAAAATGTAAATGGCGGATCGCGTCATCCAACCGACTTTTAAGTATGTCTAGCGTGGGTGCTGAAACAACGGATTCGGGGACAGCGTTCCATGGTTGACGCACTAGAATGGGAAAGAAGTTTCTACGGCACGCCAGACGGCTGTACTGTTCTGCTAATTCAAAGGAGTGGCCTCTAAGTTTGGTGTTATTGCTGAGTTGCAGTAAAGAGCGGTCCACATGATTTGGATTGTGCGAAATCCAGTACGGCATAATCAAGTCGCCACGTAGTCGGCGATACCGCCCGTTAAATACTCCCAAACGTTTCAGCCTCCGCTCGTACGGAAAGTGCCGCATTCCAATGACGTATTTAGAAGCCCGACGTTGAGGTTGGTCCAGTGCAGTAAGGTCGTGTTTCAGCAATGACTGTCAGGCTTGGAATGCGTATTTCACATGGAGACGAACTCAGTATCTGTATGGAAGTAGTGGTGTCCAGTTGTCCAAACACCAGTCGTAGCAAGCCGACTTTCTGGTTACCAGTTTTCGAGGCCTTTACGGATTGCTTGCAACAACCCAAGTTATCCTGAACAAGCACGCCAAGGTCGCGTTCGATGGATGACGGCTGCAGTACTTGCGTTCCTTGCTTGTAGGAATAGGTAATCCGGTGTCGTATGGAAATGACCTTGCATTTGTCTACGTTAAACTCTAACATATTTCGGGTTGACCAATCATCTACCGTATCTAAGTCACACTGAAAGTAATTCTGATCGGCATTCGCCTGAATCTGACGCCATATCTTGATGCCATCAGCAAACAAGAGGAAATTCGAAGTGATCTTCCATGCAAGGTCATTGATGAATACCAAAAACAACCTAGAATTGAGTCAAAGGGTACACCAGACTCGACTGATATGGGTTCAGATAGGGAACTCCGGACTGTCACCACTAATTGTCCTTGGGGCAGAAAGTTGGCGATTCAGCTTAATATAGGGTCACGGATCCCGTAATATTGAAGTTTGGAAAGGAGAACTCGATGATATAAACAATCGAACGCCTTCGGCAAGTAGGTCACATCAACGACCTCTCCAGCGTCAGCTGATGCGGTCCAATTACTCCTTACAATTAATAAATTCGTCGTGCACGGTCGCTGTCGACGAAAATCGTGTTGCTCAAGAGCAATAATGTTACAGTTTTCTAGACAACACACCAACGTATCGGCAACGATGGATTCCATAACCTTGGATAATACAAGGAGAACGGACACTGGGAGGTAGATTAAGGACTAAATCCTGCCTCCGCCTTTGTGAATCGGAATTATTCTTCCAAGTTTCCACATCGTAGGAATCTGGTTCTGGTCTAAGCAGCGCTGGAAGAACCATACCAAAGATTTTGTCAGTTGTCTTGATGTTGCTGTCAGTGCCTCTGAGCGAATAGTGTCGACTCCCGAAGAGCTGTGGTTATGTAGAGACGTCAGCTTCCACAAAACAGCTTCGGCAGTAAAAGAGATGTGGATGAGTCCTGGAGGCGGGAAAACGAAAGTCGGAAGATGACCTGTTGGTAAGGCCCTCTGAAATGTGGGAGCATATTGCCTCCGCAACGCGTTTGCTGCTTCTATGGCTGTTCTGGTTGGACCATCAGCCCTCCGAAGTGGAGGAATTTCTTGTCTCGTCTTACGAAGGTTACTGACATACTTGTACAGCAGTTTGTGGTTAGCGCTGAAAGTTTTTGCTATATTCTGTTGATATCCGACTTTGTCATCTATGAGCAGTTGAGTGCAATGGTTACGATGGTCTACATAGTCGTCCCGATTATCTGGCGTTGGTAATGAGCGTTGCGTATAGCAATCTATTTTCTGGTTCTGCTCCTCACGAAAGGAACGGTTTTTGGCCCATTGAAAACCCTTGTCTCTGAGGTCTCTGTAATCAGTTGATGGAATTTGCTGACGAAGTCAAGCCAAGCGACTTCCGGATGACGTTCAGCTAGGAACGACCAGGTTGTGGCACTGACGAGCTGGGCTAAGCGGTCGTAGCGCGTAACGGTGCGCACCAACTTAGGGTTCTGGTTGCGATATTCCGCGTAGCAGATGCTGTCGAAACTGATGAGTGCATGATCACTGCGACCTAAAGGGCATTCTACGCTCAATACATCAATCATTTGTTTCTCGTTGGGTGAAAAGAAAATTCAGAAAAGTTGGTTTATTACCTGTTCTGAAACCAGTGGGCGTAAGGATGTGATTGTAAGGTGGAACACTTGTCATAAGCTCTTGAAGATCTGCTTTGAATTGCTCTCCACATATAGCAGGAGTTTCTAAACAGTGTAAGTCGAAATCACCCATGACAAGGATGTGGGAATGTTTTCGCTTTAGGCTATATTTTGAAGTTGTCACAAGTTGACAGTCCATTTTCGGTGTAGAGTTTTGGGGGGGCAGTATACCAAAGCTAGAATGCGGGTGTCTCTGCCATGTAACTGCAGGCGGCACCAAAGAGAATCGGCGAACTGTAAGTATGAATCCTCAACGGCCTCGCACTTTAGGTTGCTTCGGTAATATAGAATTATCCCTCCTCCTTTCTTAAGCCTGTCGTTTCGTATGAGTGACATGCCCGGCAGCAACACTTCAGCGTTTATAATCCCAGAGTGCTACCATTTCTCCGTGACACCCATAATATCGCATGGCTTTGAAAGTTGGCGATCCTTCAGTTCGGCCAGCTTATTGAATAGGCCTTGAGCATTTGTGTAAAGGCAGGATAGTTTCTCGGTATTTAGGAGACCACATGGAGGCAAAGGAGTCAAGTTTGGTAGATTGCCGACCGATGCGAGGTCGGTTGTTACTCGTTTTTTGATGTGATGATGATGACACGTCGTTCACAAACCGCTTTGACCACGGTACCTCCCATTCCTCGTCCGGACCTGCTGCAGAATCGTGTGACCGAGCGGTAAAGTGATACGCCTGCGTAATCGCTAGTAGGTTTGCTTTTTCAGGCAAGCTCATGTTTGGTTTTCGCAAGGGTTCACCTGCCTATAACCGAAGTCCAGATGGAAGGCTTTTACGAGGTCTCCGCCAACATTCTAACACTTTCGTTGTTGTTTGCTCTGATTGAACCAGGAGTTTTAGAATTCTTGGTCTGCGTCCTCTATAAGTTGGTGAGAGAGGTAGACTTTTTGTAAGATCGCACCACAACCTTGACCAAGGAAAGTGTTTAATAAATGGACCGCCACTGTTCCAAATGATGATCACTGGCCTCATGACTATCGTGGGAAGCAAGTTCTGGCACGCCAAAAATAAAGATGGTGCTTAGATAATCCAGCTTGCAATGTCCAGCTGTGATGTTTTTTTTCGGTCGTCACGTGCTCCAAGGGACCTCAGGATAGATGCGTACCTTACAAGACCAGTGTTGTAGCGCACTTGCAGAGAGTAAAGCGTTTTCTACCTCAATGGCCGATTTCAGTGTTACCCTAATGATTCTGGGTTCGCCACAGTGTGAAGAGTTCGGGTGAGGAGTAACTCTCATTAGATTTGTGGATTAGGTTTTTAAGTTTATTAAAATGCATAGTGAGTTCCACTGGTCTTGGTCGTCGGATAACTTACCCCGCAATGTGATGGTGGTAGATTTGGGGACGTGGGTGCACACGACAAAAGTAAAAGTTGCGGATGCTTCTTTTCTGCTCATCATAAAGACGTCGCTTTCATAACGAGTGTTCCAGTAAGCCTGGGTGGAGATATGATTCGGTAGGGTTCGCGAAAGGTCACATTCGTCCTCGCAAGTTGCTGAGTTTGTCTATACCACTGCGGTCTTACACTCGCTAGCCCTGATCGGTGGGTTGTCATTACTAGTCCGAGGAATGATGAGGGTAAAAACGATCACGTATTCATCAAAACCGGTTCTGGACCGTATGGTATATAAGAAAAAGCCGATTCACAGTGAGTGTCTAGTGGAAACTTACTAAACAGACTCACCGGCTTGACTCCTGTCACACTGTAGGCATGACCAGCTATCAATCCATTGTCCAACTTCGCTTCGATTTCCGTGGACTGTCAGGGGAGGAACAGATTGTGCATGGCGAATAAGTTCACATGGGCAGCTTAACTAAATGAACACTATTAACAATTTTCATAAGAGACATAACATTGCGATCATTCCCCGGGGCTTTAGCATTAGTTTAAGAAAGAAAACCCCGCAACAACGGATATCTGGCACCACAGTGCCAGTACATGAGTACGTGACTCGTGGTAGTCCGCACGCGCGATTGGTGAATGCTTACATTCGAGTTGGACTTAACGATCCAAGCATTTAGTGAATGCCAAGTGGATTTAAATGGGCCGCGCTGACTTCAGGACTGTATGTTTCATTGCATGATCAATAAGGCTAGGCAACATGGCTAGCTCAACCTAGAATGGTAACGCAGTTTGTTTCCAAAATACCCAGCTCGGGTGACAACCGAACACCCTCACTAGTACGCCGAGCTACAAGCATTCGCAAAAATTGCGAATCATAACATAGAAGTAAACTGAATAACCAAAGATTCTCGGTGTCGCTGAACTGCAGTCACCGATGAGCTTATGCTTATGGCTGGGAGGAGCGGTGCTGCATCCGTGGATCACTTTCCGTCGACAATACGAATGTCAAATAAACTTCAAGACAAACTTACCTTCCAACTACTAAGAACATGGTCCAAGGGTGTTGAAGAGGATACAAACTTAAATATGGGGCAAATGGAGAAACAAGGTACCTTCTAATTCACATTTAAAGTTTATCAACACCAAGCCACAACTGTCCAAAAAGTGCTGAATTGAAGGAGTTTAAGTGTGACCTAAATAAACCTTACATCCATAAATAAATATACTAAGGCAATACTATTTATTAGAAGAGCAACGACTTGCTCAGCACTCACTGGAACTGGAACTTTGACTTATGTGTTATATACCTATCAGTCTGCCATCACATTGATTTTGATTTCAACCCTACGCTAAAAGCAAGCACTTGCTGACCCCACAACTACCGAGTATAGCTCGCACCTGATATCCGTACGCACGGATAGGTTTTCAATTTCTGTACTGCTCTCTTGTGTGTATACCAAAGTGCCAAGCTTTCTCAGTAAACTACTTCAGCTGTAAGCTCGTCAAACCACGAGGTTCACGCACCTCATCAATATAACCGAGAACCGGTTAAACGAAGAACATATTGGTGCTGAGGTCACCCCAAATAGCATGACCGTCCTAGGTTAAGATTGGCCTACTAGTGCAGGTGATGTACCCTTAGCATCACAGGGACTTACATTACGCGCTCGTTGACGACTGGAAGATTCAAGGTGCCAGCTCATTTTGTTGTTTCTGCAACTAAAACTTAGTGACAGAGGTTTATTGGCTGTTGTGCAACGCTCTTCGATGTATACTTTACGAATAGACTGTTGTCTAGTCTCTGCTTTTGGGAACACAGTCCTAAATACACGTTTGACTCGTAATGCCTTCGATCTACACACTGTGAAAGCCCCAATTTTCATCCGGAAACAGTTTGAAGTTGAATAGTAAAAGTTAACCCTTGGTCTATTTTCTAGCAACCCCGTTACTAGCCTCAGGAGCTACAGGATAGAGAACAAACCGGTCATCTTGGATCGCGTTGTCACTAATGAATAGCAGATAAGGGACACATAGAGGATGAACAGCCCTCTGGGCCAGAATGTACGTGAAAAGTGGCTGTTCCGCTACGTCTGCTATGCAGCAAATTTCCGAGTCGGGGCCCGCGTCATCACACATTGCAGTACCCAATCTGTTCTCACCAAAGCCAAAATTTCATTGTGCTTATAAACCTAACACCCCGACGTAATCTAGGGCAAGTACTCCAGACGGGGGAGCCCTCGATCGCTGCGTTACATTCGTTTTCACACACTATAGCTAATTGGTCTACATGAGGGCTGCAGCCCCCAAGTTTGATGTCTAGCCCAGGAAATCCATCAAATAGGTTATCACACCAGTGAAAAACGTATAAGAAACTAAGATCCCCTGATTGATAAAGGTTAAGTCCTTCGTAAAGAGAAGGACAAAGAAAAGTATAAATCTGAGGGATCATTTTTGTTGAGTTTAAGTCTGCTCGGGTATCGAAGTTGGAAATTGGCATTCCCTAGAGGAACCATTGCTTCAGAGTGGCCAGTAAGAAGAGCTGGAAACACCAGCCAATACTATCATTCCAACGTCAGCCCTTGTTACCGGCGCATAGATCTACCCCAAAAATTAATGCAGAATCCCAGAACTAAACACCGTATGCGGTAAAGCATAATCTGCACACTAAGAAGCAAGAAAGCCCGTGACAGTGTGTGACTGCATCCCAGAGCACAATACCGCCTGATTTCGTTTTCATACAGACCTATCTCACAAAACGGTTTAGCTAGGTCTCTTACACAGCAACTGGACTAATGAAGTGACTGATATCTGCACGTGCACAGTACTCCCGCCGCGGAGGATATTCACATCAAGTTGTTGAAGTCAGACGCCATAACGCCGGTCAAAGTCACGTCACGCTGTTTAGAGCCAAGTTTCTGCGGATTTCAAGCCCACACTATGCAGAAAATTTAGTACTTGCTAGCATTTACGCGGGAGGAATCCGTGCGGTACTAGTGAACTACAACCAGTCAGCTGTCTTTCCAGTGTGTCCGAAATCATTAAGGTTACTATAGAATAAGCAATCACTGAGCATTTGGTGAGATGCCAAATCACTTTACCGGGCTGGTACAGCTTCCACAGAAACAGGTCATGCACTATCAACCTTCCGATGGCACAAAGAGGACGGAGGCTAAGGAAGAAGTCGATATTATGTACGTAGACTTATAGAAGACCTTAAACACTTTGGGTCATCTGTTGCTTCTTGACGACTTTCAGCACTACGGAGTCGACAATCCTGTGGCGGGTTGTACACTTCTCCTAGTCTTTCAAGGTTAGCTAGATATGAAAACCCATATCGCTTAGTCTGACCCAACAGAACTGCATTAGGATGTTCCACAACGCACGGTACTATGTTCACACCTGTTTCTAGTTTTCACTAATAAAGTGCTGAAAATGTGCTCAGTCAGGTACATAATGCTTATTTTGACTTGACTTGAACTAGCCTCGCACGGCAGCCACATGCACATGAACAACAGTAGAGCAATGGGTGAGAATGGAGTTCACGGTCAGAGGTGTGGGACAACGTTTTTCTTAAGACGCCGGATCACCTGGAGTAACATTTTACCATAGCAGTTTTATACACTTCGTGAATGATTTCTTGATGCGGCGGAATGTCAAGTCAGTAGATAGCCACATAGCACATTACGATTTTGACCGGGTCTGCCAGTATTCAACCAATAAATGCTCTATTTTGATGGGGCAACAAGACGGTTTGCTTACATCTTTGACTGAAGGGGCGCCCCAGACCATTTAAAGCTACTCCTACTAGGTAGTTCAATAGCGTGCTGGGCAGCCAGGTTAGGAGTTCGAAATGGGATGTCTATTTCTGTAAAAACGTATCACTGCCACCTCGCTACCATGCGGATAGGCTTTTGAGCCAAAGGCCATGTCTGAGAATAATAATCGTCCCGCTCTCTAGATCCGGGCGTCGTGACAGTACCTTAGCCCGCGTAGAAGCAAGACAATTTCTTCAAAACGCAACCAAATTCTGCATCGGCAGTCGCACAGCTTTCCAAGGGTCGCCTTATCATCTTCATACTGCAGAGCGGATAAGCGAAAACGGGATACCGCCGGTGTCTCCCTTCTTTCTTTTCCACCTATTTCTCTTACTACCCTTCGCATTCCCCAGTACTAACACTCTCTCCGTAATTTCCAGTTAATTAACAGCAGCCGCAATGTCACTGGAGTCATGCCGTCTGCTTCAACGTTCAAGCAACACCCACTGGACGCTTATCGGCAACAACCCACAAGAGGCAACGCCGTCCCGATTCCTGGTGACGTTCAGAGTTTGCATTCCAAGCCAAATAGGTTAACAGCATGCATTCGTACGCAGCTTGGACACAATGCGTATTGTCCTGTGTTGTATGTCCGAAACTAGGACCAATGACATTCAGGGGGTTGTGGAATTAACTGCGTCCGGCTTGTCCTCCTCCCACTGGCTGCACACATGCGGAGACGCTGATGCGGTAATCACTGGTCAACCTGGGTGGGCAGTGTTCTCAGCTCCAAGACTGTATTACTTATTAATTGTTTTCCCGTGTGCAACGATGACATCAAATAAGGTTGATTCACGAAGTAGTCTTTGCATATGCCTGCACCGACAAGAGTTCCGATGCTACCAATGACAACTTCTACCACAAAATGAATACGCTGCTACCAAGTGTTACCAGTTATGACGTCGTTGTTGGTGCAGGGGGTTTGAATATGCAAGTACGTCGTCTGAGCACTTCAGAAGCTGAGCTAGGCGGTAAAGATGGACCTAATCACGATGGTAGGGAAAAGTACAAGCGTCTGTTGCAACTGTGCTTGGAACACAGGCTGTTTCTTAGTAGTACCGCATTTAGATCCAGTGGGCACTAAAGTGGCCCTTGGCGTCCACCTATAGCTGACCATCGATGAGCCCAAACTGATCACGTTGCCATAAGTTATGGGTGGCGTGGTTCCATGCTGAACTGTCGCTCGTTATGGAAATCCTACGTCGACTCTGATCATGTATTGTTACGCTGTCGTTTTTCCAGGAAGTTTACCGGGAGTCGCACCAAGTGTCGCCCCGGATTGACAACTGAGGCGTTATCTCAGTCGTCGGTCCGGCAAGCCTACCAGGATGCTCTCCGTACCGAACTTTCGCTCTGTCGTCTTAAAGAGAGTAAGTTTTAATGGTATAGGATCTCGGTCGCCATGCACAATGGGGGGAGCCTTTGCTTGCAGCACTATCAATCGGCTCCGCATTAGTCACTTAATATCCGACAGGTCGGTGAACCTGTTGGAGTCCAAAAGAAAACTCCCAGAGCACAATATAACCAGACGGACTATAAGGTATGAACAAAAGCGGAGGGTGTACGCGGACAAGGAAGCCTGGTGGAGTAACAGGGCCC